GCCACCAAAAGATAATGACCCTTCAAAAGGGGGGGTAGGCCTACCCATCAAGACGACAGACAGAGACAGCTCAAAAGAGCCATCCCCGCCCCAGCAATGAAAATAGTCTGCCCTTACTTTGCCATGAGAGAGAGTGTCGAACATGAGTTCTGTGGAGCCAACCACACTATTCTATGACACAACCCACTTGAGAGAAAGAGAAAAAGGCCCTATTTGAAGGTGTGATATCTTCTGGCTCAAATTTTTTGGCCTGTGTCCTAAAACATTTATAATTTTATTAGATTATATTTTGAAATTTTCATGTTTTAAGATTTTACATAATTTAACAAATATGAGTGTTTTGTAACAAATAGACAAAAGTTTAAGAGCAAATTATATCGGCGGTCCTATATTTTACCCATTGTGTCATTTTGGTTTATAGATTTTCAATTGACTCAATTTTGACCTTTTTAAGATTTCGTTTCAATTTGATCCAATTGATAATATCGTTTGTGGCTTTTAATAAAAATTATCACTAAATTGATTGAGATTAACTTGCCTAGGTTGAGTAAGTTTATAATTTTTTCCTTACAAAAATTACACATGACAGTTATGTACGTATTTTTTTATAAAAAAAAGTTTACTACGAGTTATAATCGATTGAACTAAATTAAAATAAAATCATAAATTTATGGTCAAAATTAAGCCAATTAAAATTATAAAAACTAAAATGTCATAAGAACCAAAGTTTAAGGATAGAGAATGTTAACTCTATTTGAAAGCATGGCACGGTATCTCTTGTCTCAGATTTTTCTATTTTTTCTATATTTTCTATATGCTCATCTCAAAACATTTGTAACTGTATAGATTATGTCTCAATATTATCATATTTTCAAAAGTTTATATAATTTAATAATTATGGGTGTTCTGGAACAAAACAACAGAAATTTGACGACCAAGAATTTTTAATCCTACTCGGAGGCATATTACTACAAGGAACTTAAAGGAGAATGCTTACACATGTAAAAATTTGCTTTCCTTCTTGAGAGAGAGAGAGAGAGAGATTCTGAATGTTTGAGTTTGAAGTTAATACAAGAGCACTCTTTTCCATGTGAAGAGAGGAGGGGATCATGGATTTTTTCTTTTGAAGTGGAAGATCAAAAGCAAATAATAAATCTGCCTTTACTTTTTTTCAGCCCTCTCTTTAAGACTATTCCATCTTCTAATAAAGCTCAAATACACACATTACAATAGAGTTTTTGGTCCCAGAGAGACCAGACCATTAGGCCAAGGAAAGAGAAGGAATAAAGCAAGAAGATCAATAACTTAAAAATAAAAATAAAGCTTCCCTGGTTCCTCCTTACATGCAACCTATCTATACAACATAATTATATATTGATCATTCAAAAACACAAAACATAGTAATGATGTACTAATAATCATCTTCTTTTACTTCTTACATCCACTGTTGTTGCAGGCACATGTTCCCAACCCCAAGAAAGGGTCAAAAACAAAAACAAAAAAGATGGTCACTATGAGGGTATAATAGAAAATTACCAATGTGTATATTTATACATTACACATCAAAGTACACAATGGTGCGTCTTCAAATGCATTCTTGGTCCAACCTGTTATTTTATTTGCTGCAGATTCATAGTGTCTTTCCATGGATAGAATCATAGAGAGATTATTGGGATTTTGGGGGAGGAGGTGTTAATGACTGTTGTGTCGATTTGATCATATCGTAACAATTTTTCATGAATTTACTTTTTTTTTCTCTAATATTTCTTTTAACTGATGACGAACTTAATTAAAGTAAGGTTTTTTTGCACCCATCTTAGTAGGGTAAATCTCAGGTGACGTTAGGGAGCACGTTTTCCATGCACCTAGTTGGAGAATTCGAATTATTATCGGTTGTGTGAAGAGCATATGCACCAACTTTTTTCAATAACCCATAGGTTGTTTTTGTTGTGTGAGAAGCATACACACCAACCAATTCGGATGACTCAAGGACTATTTACATGGATCCTCCATGGGTTTGCTTTTTTAAGTTGACAAAGAACTTTAAAGTAGAGGTGTTTTTTGCCCCTACCTCCATGTGGTAAATTTCAAGTGACATTATGGAGCCCCTTTTCCATGTACTAAGTTAGATGGGAAATTTGAATCATTATCAGTTGTGAGGGGAGCATATGACCAACCCATTCGGATGACTCCAAAGGCTGTTTTCGGTTGTGTGACGTGGTGAACGCAACATCTAATTCGGATGATTCCAAGGGCTATTTTCATGGATCCTCTACGAGTTTGCATTTTTCTAAGATGGCGAGGAACTTCTTTAAAGGAGAGCTTTTCACACCAACCTCTATATGATAAATTTCAAGTGAGGTTATGGAGTCTCTTTTCTGGGTGATTATTCAGTATTCTCGGAATATGAACATGTGATGCTCCATAAGATTTTGATTGATAGAGAGGAGTAAGGCCCAACGATTTATGTTAGAGATGGGAGAACAATATGAGATTAATTAATTGGTGATTGACTTGACGTATAGCCACGCGGTATTCCGGGATTATTCAATAATTTTCTCCCTTTTCCATGCTTGAGTTAGTTGAGAAATTTGAATGATTATCGATTGTGTGGGGAGTATACACACCAACTCATTTGAATCACCCTAAAGGTCGCTTTCAGTTGTGACAAGGAGTGTTCACAACAACCACTTCGGATGACTCTGTCTATTTATAATAAGGCTGTTGCATCATCAAGGATGTTAATATGCTTTTTATGTCAATAATAAGGCTGGTTGTACTAATACTCACCTTTTTAGTTTAACTATTTTCTTTACTTTTTTCTTTGTCATTTGGATTTTGCATGAATGTAAAACAAACCTCGCTATTTTTTTGCTTCAATTTATTTTGTGTTTCAAAAAAGCTATTCTTTCTGTGATAGATTCTAAGTTAGAACAAAAAGCTACCATTACTAGTTGGAAAATAATTTACAAATAAAATTTTCCTACTAAAAATTCATCAAAATTATATGACAGTGACTATTAAAATTGTAAGTCGAAATGAAGAGTATTTTAGTTAGAAATAAAAGAAGAATAAATGGCCACATTTTTCTGTACAAAAATTTTGTATAGTATTTTTGTTTCTATATTATCCTTATTCGTTCACGTTGAAAAAAATATTTATAAAATCAATACAGAATAATGTGATAAGTTTTAATTTTATTACTTTAAAGTAAAAGACCCATTAAGATGACTTAAACTAATTAAAATATCACTACCACATCAGGGCTGCCCTGAGTTTCCAAGGGCTTAAGGCGAAATAATTTTTCGGGGCCTTTTTAGATATTTATATAAAAAAAAAAAAAAATCACCATGTTTGGTTTAGAGTTTTTAAAAATAATTGTCTAAGTTTACAATTCGTATTTTTTTATATTTTTTTGTATTTGGTAACTTTTTTTAAAAAAAAAAAAACAAATATTATAGTTTTTAAATGTATCTAAATTAGATGTATCTATAAAATAAATAAATAAAAATTGTGTAAAATATTTTTTAAAAAAATACTAAAAAACACATAATTGGGCCACAAAGAGAAAAAAAATAAGGCCACACAAAATTAGGTTAACAACTAATACATAGACATATATTTTATATTTTATTTTTTATTTTTTTAATTGGACTAACAACAAACACTTATAAATATTTTTTTAATTGGGTCTTTTATCAATTGGGTCAAATAGATTTTTTGAGGCCCCTTTAAAATGGCCTAAATTAATTAAACAGAATTGAGATATTTAAAATTTTTAATATAGTGCAAGACTAATAAATTTGGGACCTAATTTTGAGGCCCTAGGCACAGGCTTCACCAGCCTTAGCCCACGGCCGGCCCTGTACCACATCATTCTTGCCATAAATTTCGTATTGAAATTCTATAGGCATATCATTTTTTAAGAAATAAAAATAATGAATTAGGATTAGAGATTTGACACAAGTTTTTTGTTCAAATCACCATGTACTCCTTCAAATTAGAGAAATGTCGCTTGAGTTTGTAATTTGAAAACTACACAAAACAAAGTTGCCTACACAAAATAAACATGTCGGCTCTGATAGATTTTTGACTAAATGGTTGCTTATTTTAAGAATGTTATTTACAGACAGGTAAAGAAACAAACAAGAAGCAATTTTCAATGTTAGTCTATATGATCTTATATATAAGAGGGCAATACGTGGCCAATTTACTCCTCAGTCTCTCAAGTCATTTTCAAGCTTGGCTTAGTGACAGACATCTACTTTGCACAGTGGCATGCATTGCCCACTTTCCTTATTTTTGTTTTCGTTTATTTATTTTCCTTCTTTTATTCTACATTATCATAAAAATTCAGCATTCATAGGGTGCTTTTGTTTTTGTTTTCGTTTTTTTTTTTTTTAGAATTAATTACATAAAGATATACATTTATTTGGAGCAAATATCAATTTATCCCTTTATCTATGAACTCATATTTCAATTATAAAAATCATACATATGCCCCTTTTTGAAGAGATGGTAGCGTTGTAGTTAACGGGGATTAAAATATATGAGTCCATAAATTATAGTACTAAATTGATATTTATTAAGAGGGAGTCATTGTATAATTAACTTATTTTTTTGTGATGAGAAACCTCCCAGGCTCCTTTAAACCTACTTCGAATAGTAGTGATTAAACCCGAAAGCTACAAATAAGAGTCGAAATTAATACATCTGAGGATACATTTCATTCCAGAATTCAAACCCTTAATCGCCGGGCAACCTGTGTGCGTTCAAAGGTGCCATTCATCAAATGTATAAGGAGAATTCAGCAATTCTCTATGCTGAAAGTGCAATTGCATCATCTCTCACTCACTCAAAGGTAAAAAGAGCTTTCTTTGATTAAAGCTAAAGGGCATTTTTGTCATTTGAAAAAAAGAAAGAGGGAGAGAGAGAGAATCGACTTTACTTTTTCTCCTCCTAATGTAAACTTTAAATTTCTGTTATCCAACGACTGTTTTTTAATTTCATTCACTTCCCACAAAACCCTTCTTTTCCTTCCTTTTTCTTTTTCACACTCTTAGCTTTGCTTAAAGCAGCTCATGATAGATATACACACACATATACATACATGGCTCATATCAGAACCAGTTTTATTAACACAGATTCAATCGTCTCTTCTCTTCTTCACTGAGAAAGATAGAGAAAGAAAAAGAAAAGCAGAGAAAGAAAAGGGGAGGCTTAGCTTCTACCTTGAACTACAAGTCTCTTTCTTTGAAGATGTTTGATTCTCTAAATCTACACACGCTTGAAGTTTCTCAGATTCCCTTCCCTTTCCGTCATTTTCCCGGAAAACCCATTATCCTCACAGCCCTTAAAATCCGTGTACTCTTCTTTGGCTTCTTCCAAACTCAACTTCCATGAAAATTTTCCAGGAAAATATGCCACTTTCCATTGTTCTCACACTCTTCTTTCTTGTGGGTACCTCTGTTTCAACTTCTATCATTAGTGACTACCATGCCTTAATTTCTCTAAAACAAGGGTTCGATTTCGCTGAACCGGTCTTAACCACTTGGAATTCTTCGAATCCAACTTCGGTTTGTTCATGGGTTGGAATCAAATGCTTCAGGGGAAGAGTTTTTTCGCTAGATTTATCCAATATGAATCTTTATGGCTCTGTTTCCTCTGTTTCTCCTGTTCTCTCAAGCCTCGATAAGCTAACCGAGCTTTCTCTTGCTGGAAACAACTTCACCGGCCAAATCAAGATTGCAAATTTGAGTAATCTTCAAGCACTAAACATATCGAACAATCAATTTGATGGCAGCTTGGATTGGGACTACCCAAGCCTGGTGAACTTGGAGATGTTTGATGCTTATAATAATAATTTCACCGCCCCGCTTCCTCCTGGGATTTTGAGTTTGAAGAAAATTAAGTACTTGGATTTGGGAGGAAACTATTTCTATGGCGAAATCCCAGGAAGTTATGGGAATCTGGTCGGGTTGGAGTATCTGTCTCTGGCTGGAAATGATCTGAGTGGGAAAATACCCGGCGAGTTGGGCAACCTCACTAACTTGAAGCAAATTGAGTTGGGCTATTTCAATGTATTTGAAGGTGGAATACCAAGTGAGTTTGGCAAGTTGGTGAATCTAATTCACATGGATCTCTCAAATTGCAGATTGGACGGTTCAATTCCTCGCGAGTTGGGGAATTTGAAGTCCCTCGACACACTCTATTTGCACACAAATTTGCTCTCAGGTCCAATCCCAAAACAGCTTGGCAACCTCACAAACCTAGTCAATCTTGATCTCTCCAACAATGCAATAGTTGGGGAAGTCCCATTTGAGCTTGTCAACCTCAAACATCTCAAACTCTTAAACCTATTCATGAATCGATTGCACGGGTCTATACCAGACTTTGTAGCTGAGTTGCCTGAATTGGAGATTCTCCAACTATGGATGAACAACTTCACCGGTGTAATCCCCCAGTATCTTGGCCAAAATGGGAAGCTTCAAGGCCTCGATTTGTCGTCCAACAAGCTCACCGGTACTATCCCTCCAAACTTATGCACCTCGGGGCAACTTAGGATACTAATTCTCCTAAAAAACTTTCTCTTCGGGTCAATACCGGAGAGCTTGGGGACATGTTTGAGCCTTGTTAGGGTCAGATTAGGGCAAAACTATTTGAATGGTAGTGTCCCAAATGGGTTCATTTACTTGCCTCAACTAAATTTAGTTGAGTTGCAAGACAACTACTTGTCAGGGACTTTATCTGAGAATGGAAATAGTACTACAAATTCTAATAAACCCGCGAAATTAGGGCAAATGAACTTGTCAAACAATCTCCTTTCCGGGTCTTTACCATTCTCCCTCTCGAATTTCACTTCCCTCCAAATCCTCCTCCTCGGGGGAAACAAATTCTCCGGTCAAATCCCGCCTTCTATAGGCCAACTCCACCAAGTACTAAAGCTCGACTTCCGAGGAAACTCGCTTTCCGGAGAAATCCCACCGGAGATCGGAGATTGTTACCATCTCACCTACTTGGATTTGAGCAAAAACAACCTCTCCGGGGCAATCCCACTGGAGATCTCCAATATCCGAATCCTGAACTACTTAAACTTATCAAGAAACCATTTCAATGACACCATACCCAAATCACTTGGATCCATGAAAAGCCTCACAACAGCTGATTTCTCCTTCAATGATCTCTCCGGGAAGGTCCCGGAATCAGGCCAATTCGCCTTCTTCAATGCCACCTCTTTCGCGGGAAATCCTCAGCTATGTGGATCGCTTTTGAACAATCCTTGCAATGTCAGCGCCGCCACAAAGTCGCCCGAGAAGACGGGGTCGGGCGAGTTCAAGCTGATATTTGCACTTGGGATGTTGGTTTGTTCCTTGGTTTTCGCTGCGGCGGCGATATTAAAGGCCAAGTCATTCAAAAAGAGTGGCGGCAGTGGTGGTGGTGGTTCAGGTTCTTGGAAGATGACGGCATTCCAGAAGGTGGAGTTCACCGTGGCAGAGGTGGTGGAGTGCATGAAAGATGGGAATGTGATTGGAAGAGGTGGTGCTGGGATTGTGTACCATGGCAAAATGGCTAATGGAACTGAAATTGCTGTGAAAAAGCTTCTTGGGTTTGGTATGGTTAGCCAATGCATCCTTATCCCTCTCATGCATTTCTTTCTTTTTCGCTCTGTTCTAATACACTCTCAAATCATAGGTTCATGCGAGGATCTCAAGATGTAATTTTACCATTTTAAATCGTAAAATTATGTGAGATTCTCGTGTAGTAATTTTGCAATTGAGAATGAATTAGCATAACGAATCGACAGACTCGAAAATAGAAAATCTCATATCCTATTTATTATTTGTGCCATTTTAATTTTCTAAATTTTAGTTTGAGTCAAAACAGTCTAATTTTATATCATCATCTAAACAATTAACGAAATAATAATAAAATACATGGTCTCTAAAATAATAATAAAATATAAGGTTGATTTTTTGTCAAATTCATTCAAAAACAATGCAACAGGATCTAGAATTCAGATCTCCCCTTTGAAACACACAATACTCATATTTTAAGGACTATGTATGTGTGTGTGTGTGTTTTTTTAGGGACTCTATGTTGTTAATGATCTAAACTTAGTTTCGTACAATTTTTTTTTTAGTTTGGAAAAATCAGTTTATTTCGTTTAAGTCAGTTTCTTTAAAATTTCATCCAAAATTTCCCAAACGATCATTTTAAATTGAAAAGATTGAAACTTTAAAATCAAAGTGACATGAAATAATTACTATAACGAACGATATATTTAGATCAAATGTTTTAGCAGACGTTTTTCTGAAAGAAATAATAAAGAGAAAATTGAGTGAAACATATATATATATATATAAGCTAAATTTCACTTACTTTCTAATTTCTTATCTCTTCATAAATTTCTTCTCAAATCCTTAATTCAATATATCCATTTTGATGTATGTATAGATGTTTACTTAATTTTTTTATAATGATCTGTAAAACAGGCAGCAACAGCCATGACCATGGATTCAAAGCCGAGATCCGAACTCTAGGCAACATCAGGCACCGGAACATCGTGAGGCTCCTAGCATTCTGCTCGAACAAGGAGACGAACGTGCTCGTATATGAGTACATGCGCAATGGGAGTTTGGGAGAGGCCTTGCACGGCAAGAAAGGCAGCTTTCTGAGTTGGAATTTGAGGTACAAAATTGCGGTGGAAGCAGCCAAAGGCCTCTGCTATCTCCACCACGACTGCTCGCCTTTGATAGTCCACCGCGACGTCAAGTCTAACAACATACTGTTGAATTCGAGCTTTGAGGCTCATGTCGCTGACTTTGGATTGGCCAAGTTTTTGGGAGATGGTGGCGCTTCCCAGTGCATGTCGGCGATTGCAGGGTCTTACGGCTATATTGCACCTGGTAAGTCCAATTAAAAACTTATTGACTAATCAAAAACTTAATTTATAACTTACTGCAATATACCAACAAAAAATTAAATTAAATTAAAAAACAAAAAAAAAATTAATTAAAATAGTCCTACTCGGATAATCTCCCATCTAAGTAAAGAAAATTGCTGAATTTGTACTTCTTGTGACTCTATTTCCTAAAAAGATGGGGACAGAATTAATGTATCTCTATCACTATATTCTATAATTACACATACATCATTGTCAAATCATTTTATACCCAAAAAAAAATTCTATATGCTTCGTATTTTTCAATTTTTTTTCTTCATCTGAACTGCTCAACGCTGAATTTAAGGGCAGCCCACAGCTTTGTGAGTATATCAGGTGTAGTTCTGTGACCGATTTATGCGTTGACAAGTAATTAATTGTGTCATTGAAACACAGAGAAATGTCGATGAATGTTGCAACATTTTTTATGTTTGCCATTGCAGAATATGCATACACCTTAAGGGTAGATGAGAAGAGCGATGTGTACAGCTTTGGGGTCGTCCTCCTAGAACTTGTCACTGGTCGTCGGCCAGTGGGTGACTTTGGAGATGGGGTAGACATTGTGCAGTGGACAAAGAAAGCCACTGGCTGTCAGAAAGAAGAAATCATCCGCATCATTGATCCGAGGCTCACCACAGTCCCTCAAGAGGAAGCCATGCATCTGTTCTTCATTGCCATGCTTTGCATCCAAGAAAACAGCGTTGAGCGCCCAACAATGAGGGAGGTTGTTCAAATGCTGTCTGAACTCCATCGCCACTCCCCCGACCTTCAGTCTTCATCTTCTTCTTCTTCTTCATTCCTCTTTCAACCGATGACGATGACGAAGAACTCTGAAAAAGAGAAAAATCAATTGCCAAAAGCTCTCAAATGATCTTCTCCTTGTTTTAAGGAACTTGAGTTTTAGGGTTCTTGTTTTCCAGAAAATTATCATATCTGTCACCAGATGAATTTTATCATGTGTTTTGTCTCTTGCATAGAAACATAAAACAAACGTTATATGTATATGTAGTACTCATTATATGATGAGTTTTTACATGTACACATGACATTTGTTATGTAAATCTATATAGGAGATGAAACACAATGAAATTTAATCTGGTAATACATAGTGGCGCCTCTTTTCGTGGTAACTTAGGATGGCTTGATAATTTTGTTATGGCTTTGTGAAGTGCAAAGTTTTATTTTTTCATTTTTTTTTTTTTTTTTTTTTTTTTTTTTTTTTGGTTTTATAGTTTGTTCTCACTTAGGTGTAGACATAGGAGATATGGTGTTCAATAGAAGTAGAAATAATTAATGGGATGCACTTCATTTTAAGGGGGTGTCCTTGGGGAGAGAGAGAGCTTGCAATCTTAAGGAAGCCATGCATGCTCTTTGTTTTATACTATATACATATTGTATTTGGTTGCTTTAATTAAATCATGACACCTTTTTTTTAAATCTTTTTTTCCTACTATGTACCTTCAATGAAATCAAAATAGCTCTTTCATTGGTTGTAAGTGCTCTTAAGTTGGTTCTGTGATTGATTTTTGAGCCTGTATTATTGTTATAGATACAGTATAAGCCAAAACCAAAGCTCAGCATATATACACAGGCTATGTAAAATATTCATGCCAGAAAATACAATAAAAATTTAACGAAATATTGAACTCAACTTTAGAGTTTCGTAGAACATAATTCAAATGATTTGATAAAATTTATAATCACAAAAAATAAATAAATAAATAAATAATTAGGGAAGTGTAAAGTAGGAGGAACATGTGTAAGGCCTATGAAAGATAGTGTTGGTGACAATCATAGATCAATTGAAATGCAGGAAGTCCCACCTCAAGGTACTATTTTGATGAAAGTTCAAGCTCCTTGATAATCTTCCATGATGACAAAATTAAGGCTGTATTTCGATTTGGTGAGGAATTTGTGTTGGGGAAGGAAAAGTGAATAGAAGGACCCCACTAAAAGTACTATTTTGATGAAAATCTTTCAAAGTCTTTGATAATCTTCCATGATGACGACATTAAGGTAGTGCTTGGATATTCAATTTGGAGAGGAATTTGTGGAGGAAACCTCCCCAAATCCTAGATCCAAACATAGCCTAAGAGTGTTTTGAATCTTGAATTTGGGAAATGATTTGTGGGGGGCAAAGAAAATGGAAGGAAAATGTGAAAAAAAAAAAAAAAAAAACCTTATAATTCATTCAAATTTTCTTTTCCCTCCACAAATTCTCCAAATCCAAAATTCAAAGACAGCCTAAGCAAGCAACCTTGTGTTCAACAGTGCGTTTCTTGATTCCCATCTTAGTTCTCATCATCAAGAATGCAAGGAGATGATCATGAAATTTCTTGTTTCAGATGTGCACCTAACCAGACAAGCTGATTTGAATCACTTCTTTTTTAAGGATCTTCTCGCCAAAGTTGCATTCATGGTGAAGGAACAATAATGCTTGTTACACGGTATTGGGTAGAACTGACCCCAAAAGCTAGCTCAAGAGGTGAAGGTGCCCTCACGCTTTCATACTACATATTATTTTAGTAGCCAAGCGATGTGGGACTTCGCTTCAGAATGCTAGTATGCTAGAAATTCAGGATGTTCTGTGCACATTTTTAGAGCAAAAAAAAATGATGTCCCTACACTTATCCGGTGGAGAGGAAAGGTAGATGATGACACATGCCACTATAATTCAACTCACTCACAGGAATGGAAGAACAATGGCAAGCCAATAATTCATGAAAAAGGCATAAAATTACATTATGAAGGTGCCTTTCTGATGCCATCCCTCTAAGGCAAAGCGTGGCCCTCAATATTTCAGATTGAAAAAAAAAAAAACTAATTTCATGCCTTATGTTATGTGTGACATTCCAAATGAGTCAGCTAATCATCTTTTCCCAAAGCAATGGTCTTGCAAATGCATTTGATTATTCATGCTAGAACTCCTCTCTTCTCCTGGTTAAGGAACCAATGCACATCCCTATAGTCCCCACCCCAACTAGTTGCTACGTGCATGGGGATCTCATTGCAGTTACAATGTTTATTTTTGTTAGACAATGATTACAATTATCAAAGAATAACTCTTGTTTCAACTGATTGAACAATTGGAAGCAGTTTACTTACAGTACTAGTTGACATCCATGAAAAGTATTTACTGAATTATGAGTTTAGTATATTCAGCTTATAAAAAAGTTTGATGTTCCTTGCCCATTATCAAACAATCCCTTATTCACAAAAACTCGTGTGGGATCAATAGTTTTCATGTGTGCATAGATTGGTTGTCCCATACAACTCTTGCTTGCAAAATTTGATTTCCTTATAAATATTGAAATATTGTCAATGATCAATGAAAGCACTTAAGTACCTTTACCAGTAGCCATACTTGTCCCCAAAATCACCCTTCAACTCCAATGCCAAGATGGGTAGGTGCCTTGTTTGAAAGGATAGCATCGAACCCACTATATGAAAGAAAAAAAAAATTATTTCTCTCAGGCTTTGAAAAAAGACACATTATTTGGAATAAAATGAAACATTTTGAAATAAATTTACACTTCTAAATAAAACAATTCCTTACATGTATAATAGATAGAATTCGAATACCATAAACTTTCTATTTGCAAGGTGTACTATCACAAAAAATTTAAAATAACTCTAATCCGCATTGAAAAAAAAAAAAATAAGCGCATAAACTCCACAACAGGTCTCAGACCATAGAAACTATATAATTTTTTTATATTTTATCTTTTAAAAAGGAAGCATTTATATACATGAGAGAAACTATACAAAAATATAAAACAGATATATACACACGCACAAACAAATGCCAGTCATCATTGTAAAAGTTTAAGAATACAAAGGAACAAGTTTATCTAAACAATATGATTGGGCCAGATATGCTAGCAGCAATCAAGCATTTCTTTGATTAAGGTGTTACTCAAACAGCATGGAACAGCACTTCTATTGCTCTCATTCCTAAAACTAATGCTGCAGATACTATTAAGCTATGAAGAATGGGTGCTTCGAAAATGTTGCCATACTCGTAACGGATACTTGCTGGGTATTGGTACGCATACTCATAGGGCTACATGCGTGTTGTTAGGAATTGACCTTTCTTAACCAAGATTGGTGAGATACGAAATAACAAACAAGGAAAAAAAAACGAATCAAACAAATCACACACAAGAACACAAGGATTTACGTGGTTCACCCCAGAATAGAGTTATGTTCACGGCTGCTACAGTTTTCACTATGATCAGAAAAAATACAACTCTCTCTTAATCTAAAATAGGCACCTCTCATCTATTTATAAGTATAGAATTAGGGTTACACAAAAGCAACATGGGAATTACGAAAGTACTCAAAACATTTCGGCCTAAGGGTAAACCCCCCTTTCCCTTGGGGGAGGCCCCCCAAACCCCCTATTTGACCCAGTGTTTGAGTAAACAGGAAAGTTGAGTGAACAATACTTATCAGGATCCACCGACCCAAAAACCGGGTGGCAATTGGGTACTCTGTGGGTATGGAAAGGGTACATAAGGGGTACACCAAGCTATGGGACATTGGTGGAGATATGTTTAATTTATTAGAGAGTTTTGATTTACTTGAAATTGCAAATCATTTACCTTATGTACCAGAGATGAAAGATTTCAATGATGAAATTGATGGAAATGAAAATTGAAGTTTCAAGTTTTTAAATTTTGCTTAGCTTGCTTTTGGAATGAAACTTTGTTTTGTAATTTCTCCTATTTAATGGCATTAACATAGCTTATGGACTTTTCTTTGTTATTAGTATTGTTGAACTATGATTTCTCTTTTTGGTTTTGTAATTTCTCTATTTAATTTTGGTATTGAACTTTGATTTGTAGGTTAAATCTCAAACTATAAATTATAAAAAATAAATAAAGTATTATTGACATACCCCAGTCTTACCTGTATCATATTTTTTTTAGGTCTTGCCGTACTCGTACCAGTATCCGTACCTGCACATGTGCTTCATAGCTATTAAGGATTACAAGCCCATCTCTTGTTGCAACATTACACACAAATGTATACTTAAGATTTTAGCTAATAGATTACAACTTATTTCTTCCCCATTTGATACACAGAGCACACTGCATTCATTCAAGGGAGAAGCATTGTGGATAATGAGTTGTTTATGTAGGAAATTTTAAGGGGTTATCATAGAAATGATGGGCCACCTAGATGTGTGCTTAAAGCGGACCTGATGAAGGCTTACGATTCTATTGATTAAAGTTTCTTACTGGACGCTACGCAGAGTATGGGTTTTCTGAATCAATTTGTCCAATTAATAAAGCAGTGTAATGGTACTGTCATGTATTCAACTGTTGTCAATGGAGAACTTGTGGATAATTTCAACGCTAAAAGGGGTCTAGGACAGCCAGATCCTCCATTCCCTTGTAAGCATGGAAAATTTCAGCCAATTACAGATTGTCACATAAAGGCCTACAAAATATGACACAATTATTGGCAAATCAAATATTGCCATGTGTCTAATTGGTCTTAATTCAAAATTACATAAATGGTGAAATCACAAGTTGCCACGTGTCAAAATGATGCAGCCTTCAAGATGAAAAGTTTTTGGCTAATCAAATTAAGCCACTTGTCGTATTGAGGTAGTCAAGTCAATCAAATTATGGCACACCATTAAAGTGTTTGGTATTTATCTCTAAATAAATCAGAGATAATTATCAAAGAAGTTGAAGTCTATAAATAAAGGTGATCTTCACCAGAATTTTACATACAATTCTACATAAAAAATCAAGTTGTCAAGACAAAAAATTTTCATCAAGCCATGGAAGAATGCTCTTCAAATAAGGCCCCATAGTCCTGAAGAACTTTCCTTGCTAAAGCCTTCAATTTCAAGGCAATTGCTCGTGACAAAGTTCCATCAATCTCTATCATGCTTGAAGCTTAGAGATTCAAATGATCTTCTTCTACTAAATTGGAGAGCATTCTACAAATTTGATTTGGGAACAAGCTGTCAAGCCTTCAAGTCAATGTCCTACAAATTTGTTTTCTTCTTTGTGCTACTTGGAGAAGATTTCGCCGTTCGATTCAGGAACAAGCTGTCATGCCCTCAAGTCAACTTTTTGAAGAGAAGAATCAAAGGATCATTCTTTCTACAAGAATATCTAGAGATTGTAATCACATCATTTTAAATTAATAAATTTATATTTGTCACTCTTTTTCAATCTTTATTTTGCAGACAAGAAATTTGTGTGTACACCCCCTATCTATTTCTGCTTGCTATGGAATGTTTCTACAGTATGTTAAAGGGTGCAAAAAGGGGGTTTTACTTTCCATGCTAGATGCCAAGAACTGTAACTTTTTCAAGTAGCTTTTGCTGATGATCTGTTCATATTTAGTGGTGCTGATAGGAGTTCCATTCAGGTTATCCAAAATGTTCTCCACAATTTTCACATGTTGTCTGGTCTG